TGCCTCGGAGCCAGCCAAGTATGGACTGAAACCTCCACAAACTGTAAGCTAAATAAACCTTTCCTTCCTTCATTTTGGGCGCTGGATATTTTGTCTCAGCAACGAGAGAAAAGTAACCAAGACACCACTCTTCACCTCTTCAGCATTCTGGGCAAGGACGTCGAGCTGTGACACATTGTCAACTAGATCACGTAGATATACTGCAGAGGCTCTTAGCCGCGTCTAACACTCTATGGCGTTCGTAGCAGGCCCCCAAGTTGATATTTTAAAAATGTTCTACAGGTGATTTTCGTATAAACCAGGGTTGAGAGCCACAGAAATGAACCCAGGACCTTCATCTGATAGAACGGGGAACAGACTCATAGCCGAGATCTGCTTGAAATGACCACTCAGAGGAGTCAGGAGTTTGGACTTCTGCTTTTACAAGTGAGGGGTTAAAGTGCAGAGAGGAAAGATGTCTTGTCAGCACCCAGGCAGGAAGGAGGACAGGAGCACAGGGCCCACAGCTCCCTCAGGCCAGGCTGACGAGCATTTTGCTGGCCAGGGAGCAAAGCTTCAAGCTTTCACTTTGAGAATGTGGGGTCTGGCCAGAACCTCTCAGGCACAGACTAAGATCCTGTGGTTCTTGGGCGGGCCGGGAGGAAGAAGGTCGGTTTGGTAGGGTGGTGCCTGCCGTTCAGTTCTCCTGACCTGCCCATGTCTCCTGAATCACTGCTGCTTGGGCTCTTGGTTTGATAGGGTCGATAGCTCAGGGTCATTAGAAGCCAAAGAGTGCTCAGAAGGTGCAGCCATCGAAAGCCGGAAGCGGGAGTTTAGGAGGCAGTGCCCTGCCTGTTTCTGTGGTGCGGCTGGTGTGTGGGTGCCTGTTTCCTAAATGAAGAGCCTGAAACAAAGAAGGCAGGGACTGCACAGCGAGGAAGGGAGGAAGTGGGGGCTCCGTGGACGCTTCTTCACCCCTGCAGTGTGTGGGGCTCCTATGGCAGGGGACGCTGTAGGCTTCCGGTGCGAGAAACGCCCCAGCTCCACTCGTCCTTGTCTGGCACACACATAACGTGGCGCTGGCAGCTCTCCCTTCCCTGCAGACACGCGGCCATCCCGCCCCTAACTTGGGTCCCCTGCCCCCGAAGGCCACACTCTGCCCTGGCAGCACATCCCCACCGCGGGCCCAGGAGGCGGACATGCCGACATGCTCCCCTCTGCCCACTAAGGAAGCATTCCACAGCAAACTGCACAGGGTGACCGCAGGTTGCCATCATGATCCGACCAAGAGATGGGGTGTAAACAGCATCCAGGAGATCCTCCTGTGCTGTTATGTTGCTGTCTCCTCAGCCCTGGATATCGGTAGCTTCCTGGGTTTTTGTGACAGTCACGCTCTTGCTTTTTCATAGGTTGGCCGCCTAATTTCACATTCCCAGACAACATAGTTTAATCTGTTTAGTTTATTCTAAACTAAAATTGCCTACTTTACTCTAAAAGCACAATACATATTAAGAATTTAATACCCTATTTTATGATATTTTATGTTCCTATCAACTACATTACTGCATAATATAGGAAGAACCTCCTGAAAAAACAGCAAGAGCCCTGAGGTGTCCAGTATATCCCTCAAAAAGGCCAGGAAAATAAAACATATGTGCTGTCACTATAAACACTACACGTGTATGAAAGGTGCCATTGTCATGTGTGTAGACTGCTTTAGCTGTGATAATTGAAGGAAAGATTTTTTTGTAAAAAAAGTAATTTGCCCAGTTTAAAAGATATTAGCGATAAAATCATACATTGCTTCTTCTTCTCTCTCGCTTCTTTTACTCAGTGTCGTGTTTGTTAGACTCACCCGTGCTGTGACCGTGGCATGCTGCTGTAGCTCGTTTACACTGCCATGCCGTCTTGAGTCTGACCATCTCTACAGTTCCATGTTGAGGGGCATCTAGACTGTGTCCAGCCTGTGTCCAGGCTATTTTGGACCCTGCTGCTGTGAACACGTACACACTCCGGTTTCTGTGGGGTGTACACAGAGACGTGGAATGAAACAGCTTCTTGGTTACAGCTATGGATGAGCAATCCCAGCAGCTGGGATTCAAGGAGGCTGTCTCTGCACAAAAACACAGTGAAGTATTTACCTCTTTGGGTGTGAAAGAGGCTACTGTAGTTGCTGCATGCCTACATAAGCGTTCCCAACTCTGAAAGGCAGAGAGCAGCTTGAGGTGGATGCAAAGAAAATTATTTCTCCACTATTTGTCTGAAGGCTGTAACTTGGAGTTAGTGTCTATACCTAGGAAGGTCTTGGTAAATGTTCGTTGGCTAAAGTAAGGTGAGTTACAATTGCTCACTGAGGACCTAAACTCTTTGCTTCTGGTTAGAACATCCACGTTCTCAACCCAAGCGCAAGATTTACTGCAATCTCCGTTGTCATACTTATTTTTAAAATATTTTTATTTTTATAATTAGTACATTTGTCAAGCTTTTTTTTTTTTTT